ATATGATTTGAATACATGGAAGGAAGGAGACATTTTGTTCCCCTTTCAGAAACCAGTTTCTGACACTCTCTACTATCAGCAAGAAAGAAGTACTATTCTACTAAAATTAAACCTATGACTTTAGGTAAAATGTGCTGGCATACGAGAGCAAAATATAATTTTATCATTAAAAATGGTGTAATGTGAATATCACCCATAAGATACGGACATTTTTATACGTAGTATTTATTCTTGTAATCACTTTCATAAAACTCAATCTGAGTTTTATTTTTAACAAAACCTTTTGAGTCATTTTGATAAGGTCAACAGAAAGCACAATCTCTTAACATTAGGTGATCAACTTTTTGACAATAGCAGGGCCAGCATAGCTAATGGAATAATAGCCTGCAGGGTCCAGCTAAATATGATATACGAACGTAATCAACCTCCGTGATGACTATTCAGAAGTAATCCCTTTAGCTTTGAACTGCAACATATATTTCAACAAGGCAAACACCACATGAAGAAATTCTCTGCAGACCACACTGATACAATACAGCCTTCATATCCTGCTCTATGTGCTTGCCGCTTATAGTGCGTTTTAAATTTAAGGTAATGACTACTGTATATTCATGTGAGCATACAACAATACTTTTGATTTGTTGTGGAAAGGTTGAATCCATTACCAGGGGTCTAGTCTATAAACCCAGACACAACCTTTATGTACGAGTTATTTTTTACCCTTTTCTAGAATAAGGCCACTAAAAATGCTTTCCATGCCAAAATTATAAAAACTCATTTACCTTCTCATTCACAAATCCACCAGTGTCTCCTCCATTTTAATTCACACTCCTCTACCAATAACATTTTTTAAATCTCATTTACATATAGTACTGTATTTTGTGAAAATTGCAGACCATTGATTTCAAGTTAAAGGATGTGATGATAGGTTGATTGCAATTCAGCATTTGCTGACTTATTCTGTTGCTCTTTGGTGTAGTGTAGGCTAAGTGGAGGTATAAGTAAGATCATTTTGTTGCTTACTTTAGGGAATCTACCATTTGAGAGTTTACTATTAGCAACAGAAAAGTGTCTGTTTCTACTGAAATGGCAGACAGTGTAAGCAAATATCATACTCTCAACTTTGTATTGGTTCTGGTCTCCTTGTGGGAGTGGTATTGGTCCTTCTTTTCCAGCTTCCTTTTAAGGCTTACAGAACAAACACCACAAATCACATTCCAAGTCAAACCCACAGCACAAAACCTAGGTTAGGAATCAAAATGAGTGTTTTTGCAACAGTGTAACCAAGAACAAACAATCCTGTGGTGTTCACCTTATTGCAAATGAATAGAAGTCTCAGAATCTGAAGAGTTCAGGTCTTCCCCTATATAAATTAATCATTGCTAAGGATTCCTAGCTCAGAAAGAGTGTGAATGTCTTTTATATAAACTTGCAACTGTGGCCTAAGTGGAGTAAAAGAATAGCTACAGATATAACTATTCTTCTCAGAGAATTTACTTGAGAAATATTCCCACTACAAGTCATCTTTCTTCCACATCTGGGGAATGAATGCTAAATAATTATTTGAGACAAATCAGGCATAATTTTAAACTTGAAAAGTCCAGGGAAGATTCCCCCAGCTTAAGAGATGTTACATCCTGCCAAACCAAAGGGAATGCTGAGTTTAAGACATTAGATGTATAAAATAGGCATTAAGAGGTTAAGATGTTCTATATAATGTGATGCAATGAAAAATATTAAACTGAGAAGCCCAACGTAGTCCCTTACCTAAAAGAATGATAAAAACATATTAGTTGAGGTAAAGGCTAAGCTCCTATTACAAAGAGTCCCCAATATACAAATTTGTTTCCTCCTTAATCTTGAAGTGAGCAGTCTACATTTACAAGGTAACTCCACAGGCAGTTAGGAGACCATGATCTTCCATTTTATTGCTTCACCATCACCTAAGGCAGGGTTTCTCAATCTTGCATTATTGAAATTTTGAGCTGGATGATTTTTTTGTTGCTTAGGGGGCTGGAGTATGGCTGTCATGGTCATTGTAGGATATTTAGAAGCATCCCTGGCCTCTATCTACTGAATGCCAGTAGCACTTCCACCTACAAGTTGTAATGACCAAAAATGTGCCCAGACATTTTCAAAAGCCACCTGTGGGGCAAAAATCACTGCCAGCTGAGATCCACTGGCTTAGGGTATTGTCACATCTACATGTTAGAAACTGAATCATAGGGTGATGGCTCTATGTCCAAACTGGTGGAAAAGGAAAATTTTAAGGAGGGATAAATGCTCACTGTCTAACACTCAGACCCAGAAGCAGTATGTCTCACTTTGTTTATATTCGCTGGTGAGAATTTAGTCATGTGGCTTCAGCTAATTATGTATTTGCTCATGAAGAAGATCTTATAGCCCAAAAAATCCAAGCAACCAACCAAACACAAAACCCTGATAAGTGAGAAGCAGAAGGAATTACTGTAGCCATGTCTGATGTGGGCAAGAACTGATGAGGTCTAGTGAAGATGGAGAGGGGTTATAGCCTTTGATGGGAGCATAGTAGGTAAGATAGAGCATGTAGAACAAAAACAGGTAGGTAAGGAACTGTTAACACAGAGCTTGTGGACATTTTTTTCTATGCTTTTTTTATTTCCTCCATGAAACCAGAAAATAAAATCATCAACTGAAAACAATGTTCCATGTGCAGTGTTAGAGGTTTGAGAAAATAGAAAAAAGAGCTAAACAGTCATCTAGGAGAGTAGAAGTATGAATATGGACCAAGAATGTTTAATAGGATGGCCTGAAAGCATTAAAAGTCCACTTAATTTCTGTGGCTATGAATTTAAAGTGGGGCCTGGTTATACATTTTTTTCCAGCTGCACTGAGGTAGATAGTACAAGAGAGGAATGGGAAGACAGTTGGGTTTATCTAGGGTTATAGTTTTGTCAAGTGAGTATGACAGAGTGGGAAAAGGGTAATGAGGTCAGGCTATAAGCAAGGGGGAGAATGACCATAGAGTTTAAGTTAAATAAAGAAGGGAAAGAAGGTGTCAAAATGGAAATGAACAATGAAAATGTGGCAACATTGGAGGTCCCAGGGAAGTAGAAGAATTGCTGGTGTTGCAGTACTAGAAGGAGTGATCTAGAAGGATAAAGCTGGAAGTCAAGTAGTTGAATACTGGCTTCTAAATTTGTAGGGGCTCAAAGTTACTGCAAGGTCTGAGTATGTCCACGGGAATCAATGACTGCCGTAGGGTGTGGGATGAGGTCTAAAAGGACAGAGCTCAAGGAATGGAGGAACAAGGTAAAGAATCTTCTACATGTACATTTAAATTGCTAAATTAAGAAAGTGGTATCAATGTAACAATAAACCACTGATCAAATCAACTAAAAATAATCCCAGTTGTGGGAGGATCACAACAATAGTTAGTTGTATAAGCAGATGACTGAGTTTTAGGAAGGGAAGGAAGGTGAGTGTCCTGAAAGAGAACAATAAGGTAGAAGAATGACATCTATCGAACTCCAGGTCCAATGGTAGCCACGCTGACAAAAAGAAAAACAAGGGGCGCCCGGGTGGCTTAGTCGGTTAAGCGTCCGACTTTCGCTCGGGTCTTGATCTCACGGTTCGTGGGTTCGAGCCCTGCGTCGGGCTCTGTGCTGACTGCCAGCTCAGAGCCTGGAGCCTGTTTCAGTCTGTGACTCCCTCTCTCTCTGCCCCTCCCCTGTTCATGCTGTCTCTCTCTCTCTCCTAGAAATAAAAAAAAAAAAAAATTTTTTTTTAAAATTAAAAAAAAAAAAAAAAAAAGAAAAACAAAAAAGGCTGCTGGACTGTCAGTGTCCTTTGAGGGCAATCATGTTTCTGTTAGAGCAAGAAATTAAAGGGAATTTCAGAAAATGGAATGAGGTAAGATTTCAGGAGCTGTGGTAGGAGATGGGGACAAAATAAGAAATGTACCGAGCCTTATTGAAAATAGAATACAGGAAATGAAAGGGCACCTGGAGACTGAGGCCTATGATAAGCAAGATTAAAGGACATATTATTGGATTAGACCCAGTGGATTCAACTCAAAAGTCAAAGGGCAAATATGAAAGTTAAATAAAAAATTAACATGCCTATTAATATGTATACACTTCCCATACCTGATTTAATTATTTGGATACTGTATATTGCTCTCTCAATTGATTTTCCTTCTGAGTATTGTTCTAACAAATCATTTTATCCCCCAGAAGGTGGCTCTTCCAGTGGCCATTTCATATATCAAAGAATTCTGTGGGTTAGGAGTTCAAACATGGTTTGGCTAGACATGAGTTGAGGTCACTCAACGGTGGTGCTCAGCTGACAGATGGGCTAGTTTGAAGGAGCCAAGACAGCTTCCCTCACAGACTGGAGCCTTAGAGGGATGGCTGGAAGTTTGGACTCAGCTGGAACGGTCAACTGAAGCATCTTCTATGTGGCCTCTCCAGGATGGCAAGATCGTAGGACTTATTAGATAGTGACTAGCTTCCTCCAAACCAAGCACCCTAAGCAAACCAGGAGGAAGCTGCACAACCTTTTTTGACCTCAGAAATCATGTAGTCACTGTCTCTAATGATTCTCTAATTCTAATGATTACAAAAGGATCCTAAGCCTAGCCCAATTTCATGAGAAGGTGAATTAGATTCTACCTCTTATGACCTCAGAAATCATGTAGCCACTGTCTCTAATCATTCTCTAATTCTAATGATTACAAAAGGATCCTAAGCCTAGCCCAATTTCATGAGAGGGTGAATTAGATTCTACCTCTTATGGGGTAGTGGCAAGGTCATACTGTTGAGAAACATGTAAAGTGGGAGATATTGTGGCCATCTTTGGTGAATATAATCTGCCCTGGTGACACAAGTAATACATACTCTTTGATCATACAAGTGATCAGGGTAGGTATTTCTGAAAAAGGATTCCCAGGTTCAAGCTCTATATAACTGTAAATTGTATTTGTGGTAAACCATTAAATTTATACATCTCTTTTCCTGTAGGAGGATCTAGAGAATCCACAATGGGAAGTTTGAAGCCAATCCCAGAGAATTTGGAAGAAGAACTCAATGGATAAGATAAACCAAGTAAAAAGTTTCTATTGCATATACATTAGGCAAAATATTAAGTATAAACTGATTCTCTAAACATAAGAAGAATAATTTTGTCTAGTACTTGGTAATACTGAAACACTGTCTAAAAAAATCACAGATTTGCTTTTAAATATTACATAAGATTAAGTGTTTTTCATCTTTTAAGCTATGTCAGAAAATTACAGAAAACAAAATATCTTTTAAGCAAATGTCTTTTACTTTCTGCCTCTATATAAAATTAAATTTTGTGATTTATGTATTTCAGATTTCCAGATAATCAAAAAAATGAGACTTAAACCAGCTTTTGACTCAGCAACAAAGCAAGAAGAAATTTATCATGTCACCTTAGTCTTTGATAACTGTCATAGGAATATGTTACAAATAATACAGATAAAGCTATAATAAAACAATGACTATGTTTAGATTGGATTTTGGATTGCAATGTACTACTACAAATTTAATCTAAAATTCATAAAAATAAAAAATGGATCTCAAAAGCTTAGAAATATCAATAATTATTAATAAAATAAACTATAAAATGTTCCTCTTATCCACTATTCCACAAGAAGAGCTGTAATTATAGAATCAAATTTGGTTGTGTCTAATGAGAAAATAATTTTTTTTTAAGAAAGAGAGAGAGTGTGCGAGTGGGGGAGAGAGGCACAGGGAGACACACACAGAGAAAGAGAGAGAGAGAGAGAGAGAGAATCTCAAGCAGGCCTCCTTCCACACTCAGTGCAGACCCCAACAAAGGGGTCCATCTCATGACCCTGGGATCATGACCTGAGCTGCAATCAAGAGTCAGATGTTCAACAGAATGAATCACCCAGGTACCCAGAGAAAATCATTTTAAACTTAAGGAAATCTATACTGAATAACCGTGGGAAAATATTTATTAAATTTCAGGAAGACTTTTCAACATAGAAAGTTTATAAGCAATAAAGACTATTATATTGACAAGCACAGTTCAAAAACAGTTGCCTTCATGGTTTGCCTCTCTCCCTTCTTCTCCCCCTTGTTCCTCCGTCAAGTTCCTCCTAATCCTCCTATACGTGCGTCCGACTTTCGCTTGGGTCATGATCTCGCGGTTCGTGGGTTCGAGCCCCGCTCGGGCTCTGTGCTGACTGCCAGCGCGGAGCCTGGAGCCTGTTTCAGAGTCTGTCACTCCCTCTCTCTCTGATCCTCCCCTGCTCACGCTGTCTCTCTCTCTCTCCTAGAAATAAATAAAAAACATTTAAATATATATATATATTAAGCAGCCTTTCCACCAACAATGGTATAAAACTAGAAATCAACTACCAGATGGAAATTGGGAAAATCACAAATATTGGAAGTTTAACCAACTGCTAATGAACCACCAATCAGTCAACAAACTATCAAAGAAACTTTAAAAATACCTTGAGACAAATGAAAATGGAAATACAACACACCAAAACTTAAAGGAATGCAGTAAAAGCAGATCTAAAAGAGAAGCTCAAAGTGATAAATGCCTATATTAAGAGGGGGGAGAAAAGATCTCAAATAAAGAACCTAACTTTATACCACAAGGAACTAGAAAAAGAATTAAGTCGAAAGTTAGTAAAAGGAATGAAATAACAAAGATCAGAGTGGAAATAAATGAAATAAAGACTAAAATTACAATAGAAAAGGTGAATGAATGAAAATAAGAGGTTTTTTTTAAAATAAAATAGACACACCTTTAGGTAGACTCATCAAGAAAAAAGGAAGAGGACTCAAATAAACAAAACCAGAAATGAAAGAGTAGATGTTACAACTGAAAATATGGAAATACAAAAGATCATAAGAGACTACTGTAAACAATTGTACACCAACAAACTGGACAACCTAGAAGACATAGAGAAATTCCTAGAAACATACAACCTACCAATACTGAATCATGAAATAGAAATTCTCAATAGACCAATAGCTACTTAAATTACCAGTTAAATTACCAGTTACTGGTATTTATTATGAGTATTTTACTAGTAATTACTAGTAAGGAGATTGAATCAGTAATCAAAAACCTCCCAACAAACAAAATCCCAGGACTGATGGCTTCACTGATGATTTCTACAATTTTTTTTTTTTTTTGAGAGACAAGGAGGAGCAGAGGGAGAGAGACAGAGAGAATCCCAAGCAGGCCTCATGCCCAGAGTGAAGCCCGATGCAGGGCTCAATCTCATCACCATAGGATCATGACCCGAGCCAAAATCCAAAGTTGGATTCTTAATTGACTGAGCCACCCAGGTAACCCCTTATCAAATATTTTTAAGGAATTAAGATAATCCTTCTCAAATTCTTTCAAAAAATGGAATAGGAGGGAACAATTTCCTTGTACAAGACCAGCATTATGCTGTTACCAAAACCAGACAAAGACACTAGAAGAAAAGAAAATTACAGACCAATATCCCTGATGAATATAGACGCAAAAATCCTTAACATGGCAACTATAGTTACCAATGCTAGATTGTATATTCGAAAGTTTCTAACAGAGTAGATCTTAAAAGTTCTCATCACAAGGGATAAAACAAATTTGTAACTTTGTAAGGTGATGAATGATAAATAAACTGACTGTGGTAATTGTTTTGCAATATATGCATACATATATCAAATCATTATACCATACCCTTAAAATGAATACAATGTTATATGTCAATTATATGTCAGTAAAATTGGGAAAAAATTTTAAAAGTTCTTTTAAAAAAGATTACAAACTGGAAGAAAATATTTGAAAAATCTGTTCACATGAAACGATGCTCAGCATCCCTCCTCATCAGGGAAATACAAATCAAAACCACACTGAGATACCACCTCACGCCAGTCAGAGTGGCTAAAATGAGCAAATCAGAGAACTCTAGATGCTGGCGAGGATGTGGAGAAACGAGCACCCTCCTACACTGTTGGTGGGAATGTAAACTGGTACAGCCCCTCTGGAAAACAGTGTGGAGGTTCCTCAGGAAACTAACAATAGAACTCCCCTAGGACCCAGCAATTGCACTGCTAGGAATTTACCCAAGGGATACAGAAATGCTGAAGCATAGGAGCACATGAACCCCAAAGTTCATAGCAGCACTCTCAACAATAGCAAAAACATGGAAAGAGCCTAAGTGTCCATCAACAGAAGAATGGATCAAGAAGATGTGGTTTATCTATACCATGGAATACTACATGGCAATGAGAAAGAATGAAATCTGGCCATGTGTAGCAACGTGGATGGACCTTGAGGGTGTTATGCTGAGCGAAATAAGTCAGGCAGAGAAGGACAAATATCATATGTTTGCACGTATAGGAGGAACTTGACGGAGGAACAAGGGGGAGAAGAAGGGCGGAAGTGGTGGGGGAAAGGGAGAGAGGCAAACCATGAGAGACTCTTGAATGCTGACAAAAACTGAGGACTGATGGATGTGGGGGGGAGGAGGGATGGGCATGGAGGAGGGCACTTTGGGGATGAGCACTGAGTGTTATGTGGAAACTAATTTGACAATAAACTATTTGTAAAAAAATAAAAAAAATAAAAGTGTAATAACTGAAAAAAAAAAGAAAAATCTGTCTGTTAAGGACTAATATCAAAAATATATAAAGAATTCACAGCTCAGTAAAACAAAGAATGCAGTATAAAACAGAGGCAAAAGATTTGAACAGACATTTCACTAAAGATTCATAAATAGCAAATAAGCACATGAAAAAAATCCTCAATACCATTAATTATTAGAGAAACACAAATGGATACCACAATAGATATCACACTACATGTCTAGGAAAATGGCTACAATTTAAAAGTGACAATTCCAAGTCTTTTAAAGACATGGAGCAACTAGAACTCTCAAAATTACTAATGGAAATGCAAAAGTGTACAGCTGTTTTGGAAAAACAATTTAGTAGTTCTTTAAAAATTTAAACACACACCATATGACCCAGCAACCCACTCTGTTATTTACCCAAAAGAAGCGAAAACATAAATCTGCACAAAGACCTGTATGTGAATATTTATAGCAGTTGTATTCATAATGGCCCAAAACTGGATAACAAAAATATCCATCTACTGGTGAATAAACAAATTGTGGCATATTCTATGGAATGAAATACAGCTCAGCAATAAAATGAAAACAACTGTTGATACATATAACAAGATTAATTTCAAAAGCATTATGCTAAGAGAAAGCCAATCACAAAAATTGCATTTATATAACATTCTAGAAAAACCAAAACTGCAGAACAAAAATCAGATGGATGGTTGCCATGAGCTGAGGGTAGAGGAAGGGAAGTGACTATAAAAGGATATGAGGGAACTTGGGGAGCTATAGAAATATTCTATATCTTGACTTTAGTAATCATAGTACAACTATATACACAAAGGTAATGGATAGTGTACACCTGAGGATACTGTATAAATGAGGATGAATTTTACTAAGTAAATTATAACTCAATAAATCAGACTTAAAATTAAAATTAAAAAGATGTGGCTACTGAGTAAATTTAGCCTGATATCACACTGTTATTTAAACATTGTTGTGTGTATTTGTGGTTGTGTATATATGTATGAGTGTATAGGAAATGAAACTGTAAATGATTTTATTTTATTTTTTAAGTATATTTACTTATTTTGAGATAGAGAGAGAGCAAGCAGGAGCAGGGGAGGGGCAGGGAGAGAAGAAAAGAGAGAGAATCCCAAACAGGCTCCACACTGTCGGCACATTGCTCAACATAGGGCTTGAACTTATAAGCCACGGAAATCATGACCAAGCCAAACAAAGAGTTCGACATTTCACTGAATAAGCCAACCAGGCACCCCTGATTTTATTTTTTATACATTTCTATTGGTTCAATTTTTTCCACATGCAGGACTATATGCTGTGGGTATGTGTTTTAACAACAACAACCAAAAAAAAGACAGAAAAGATTCTTCTACCATGTGTATAGTGTTTCCTTAACCATTTTCATTAAAAATATCACATCTCATCTCACTCTATTTAAAAAGTAAGGTCAGCAATGAGAAAAATTTTTCCTTTCATAAGAACAATTCTGGCTTTGAAGCTCTAAATTCAAATAACAAATACTTTTTTTTTTCCTTTGAAGCTTTTTCTGTAACAATAGCCTTTATGATAGTGTCTTCTTATAAGAGCCCTTAAATACAAGTCGGGAAAGTTTTGTGAGAATATTTTTAATAAAAATTCCCACATCTCTACAAATACTTCAGGAAATTAGATCAAACATATACCTGTTGGGAAGGTCAACAGAAGCCAGAATCTATAATCAAATGCCAAATAGTCACCCTGCTATCCCTTCTAATGGATCTAATCAGATCTTTGGCGGTTTCTCCTTAAATTTCAACTGGAGTCACTTTTATTTGTGAACAAATATGAAAACTAAAGCAAGGTTTTGTGACAACAGATGCAAACCACAATTGCAGCAAGTGCAAGTC